CCCCAAAACCCCAAAACCCCAAAACCCCAAAACCCCATCAGAGTAAATTAAAGTTTTATTAGTTGTTTATGGAGATAATACAAATTTAAATTTAAAAGGAGAAATCAAATTAATTATAGCGAATTTAATTCTTAGAAAAATGTAAGATTCTTTTGTAGATCACACTATGAGTACTATTCTTAACTAAACCCATGCATCAGTTGAACAGCAGACTTCAAACTAAACAAGCTAATCCTTGAATGGATTTATCCATTACTTTTCTAGCAATTAAGAGGGCATCACATATTAAAATCCAATGAATACTCAACAAAATGCAACTTTGGAGCTCACACAAAATCAAACAATAAGCGAGCATACTATAAACGAGAACTTTGAGAGTGATTGTCATCACTCCTTAAGTAATAATAAAGCAGAAAATAACAGAAATATGTCGTAGCATTCTGAACAAGTTATGATCGAACATAACGAATAAAATTCCGCAAAAAGGGATCGAAGGCTATCAGAATCACAACTGTAAGTGAAATTGGTACAAGATGGAAGCAGTCCAGCTTCAAGTTTAAGGGGCTATTAAGGATTAAGGTAGAGCTTGGGCAAACTCCATAAATATGTTAAGTAACATTTTCATGAAGAAACTCAAAGAGTATCTAAAATTTAGCTTCAAGATCCAGGAGCTTAGTCAGATGATTAAAACAGGGAAGTGATGTCAGATTAAAAGAGATAATCTAGATAAAATCTAATTAAGTCCATCACATATTCTAGCAATCATCATTAAGATTTTGAGTCGATTTGTGAAAACAGCAGCGAGAATGAACACTCATTTTTAAATTAAGGACTCATAATGTCTATCAATCAAAACATCTAATCAATTAATAATGATACGCACTAGTCACAAAACCAATCAAACCCAAAGAATAATAATTGCATTGTGGAAGAAGACTTGCCATCAAAGATCAATCATCTTACTCCTCGCTAGGCTACTTAAGGTTTTAGTCATCCAAAAAGAATATATACTGGTCAAGGAACAAATAACACCTCTGATAAAAATAGAAGGTCAGGTTCATAAAGTCAAAAAAATAGATAAAATAATTCTTTTAAAACTACATGTCTCGAGCCATAGATTAATTTGGCTATGAAAAAGAGTCTTCCAGAGATTAATAAGCTATAGATTGGCTTAAAGCAGACATTTCACTCTAAATTTGCTGACGATAAAAGCAAGTTGTCTTAGATATTGCCAGAAACTAGAAATGAAAGGACTAGTAAAGATCTTTCATTACAAAGAAAGATATCTATTAGCGCGAATGCTTCAAGTGAATGTAAAGTTTAGGGGTCATCATCAAGACCAAAAGATAATTCAGCTTCTAGATAAAATTGTAAATAATTTTTCAAAATATTAAATTGATTACTAGGCGATAGAAAGGAACAATTTTCCCAAAAATGTGGAATTTGCAAGAATGAGATAATGTATCATCAGAGGAACAGACTCTAAAAATGTGGTCATAGATTTCATGCCCAATGCATTGCAGAGATAATGGACCACCTTGAGAATGTTTAGCCTTTAAATTTGAATATTTAGATAGGAGTGAAAAGATTTTCCAATTAAATAAAATCAGATTAGTCCAGGACTTAGCGATAATCTAACCAGAGTAAAGTTTCGCTAGATGGAATCTGCAAGTTTTGTTGCAGTATCGAACATAAAAAAGCTTTGGAGGTAGTCAATGAAATAAACAATGATGTAATGGAAGAAGTTTGATAAAAATATGATCACCTCTGTTTGAAAAGAGGATTAAATGATTATAAATTTTACTGATTAAATTTATATTTTGCTAATTAAGTTATGAAATTAATCACAAGATGCTGACTTATCTAACACTTAATCTACTCTCATTTAGAATTTTAGTTTTTTTAGTTGATTGTGTTGTTTACATGCAAAAACAAAGTATCTAGAGAATTCTAATGGAACGAGTTCAGATTTATGATTTTGCTAAGTCTTTCTTTTTCCTATTAGGCATCAATAGCCTATTATTTTTTAGACTGTTTTTGCATTTATTGTTGTTTTTCCTATTTCTATACTTGGCTTTGAATATTCTCTAATAGGGAATTCATATTAGAGAAATCTCCAAATTTATTAGATTGTTCTTACTTCTTTTACTTCTTGACAATAGATACATCTACCATCTAATCATCCAAAGGCTTAGGTGGCTTAAGGCTATTTTTTAATTCTATTAACTTTTTCTTATTGATTTATTTTGTTTCAACAGCCTTTGACTCCATTATCTTTTTATTGATGAATTTCTCCTTCTTCTTTAGTCTTTTCTTTTATCCGCGAGTCAGTGCACTGTTATCCTTAAGCGTCTTTTTAGCACTCTCAATCTAAATATCTGTCAGATCCTTAGGTTTCTTATCTCTCTAAGGATTAGATTCCAGAAGTTTTATAAATCTCTTCTTTTTAGTGCTCATTTTCAACTTTTTTTTAATTTCTTGCCTAACCTCCTTATTGATCTACAACTTGCTACTTTATTAATTAGCACTATCTATATCTGACATAGTACTATTAGCTACTACATCCAATCTTAATAATGCTTTTAACTCTTCATAATCATTTTTCAATTAATCATCCTTACTCTTATCCTTTAACTTCTTTATGGAATTCCCTGATTTCTTAACTTTTTGAAGTTGTTACTTCTTTATCTCTAGCTTGGTCTTTTTATCGCTCACAAAAGTAAGAGATTTAGCTGCTTTACCCATTAATAATTAATAAATAATATGCAATTAGGATTATCACTCCAACTTTATAATTATTACCATGGGGTTTTGGGGTTTTGGGGTTTTGGGGTTTTGGGG